TTAATAGTTGGGAATAATATGGCTTCATTAATGCTTATTTAAGAGCTTAATGTTATAAATGAGAGTTAAAGGAAGCTAAGAAACCTTATGGATACTTTTGCATAAGTTTAGAATAAAGCTTGAGTATTAAGAAATGATGAGAATGCTAGTGAAAAATAGTTCAAAATAGATATTGATGTTTTGCATGGTAAATGTTTGTAGTGTAATTACCATTGGCTCCATTCAAGCTTCTTGAAAGGTTCAGGAGCAAATAGTTGAGGGGTCAAACCTTTGACAAGGTAATCGAAAAAATTTTATCTTATACTTGTGTGTCTATCAGTTTATTGATTTATAAATTATTATTAAAACGTACAAACTAGAGAAAATGTAAGTGTGGCATAATTTGTGAAGAAATTCACTAGATTAAATTTGAGAATTTTATGCCTTATGATGCAAATTTTTCCTTGAAAACAAGAGTGGTGGATTTTCGTATTAATGTTTATTGGAAGTGCAATGATTTTTACAAATTGAGAAGTAAAATGAATCTTTGTTATGAGGAGTCCAATGATGTTTGAAAATAGGAAAGTTCAATAATTTTAAAAATGTGAGGTACAATGATTGTGATTTGGGAGTTCAATGATCTGTTTTGTTTAGAAGTTCTATGAAATGTTTTGAAAAGTTCAATGATTGTGTAATGATAAAGTTCAATAATTTTAAAAGTGTGAGGTACAAATTGTGATTAAGGAGTTTAATGATTTGTTTGGTTTTGAAGTTCCATGAAATGTGTTTGAGAAGTTTAATAATTATGTAATGATAAAGTTCAATGATTTTAAATTGTGAGGTATAATAATTATGATTTGGGAGTTCAATGACTTGTGAGGTTTTGAAGTTTCATGAAATATGTGTGAGAAGTCCAATAATTAGGTAATGTGATGTTCTATGAATTGTATATGTGTGAATTATAGCATGAATGTCCATTGCATGAAAGGCGGGAGTTCGCCTAAGAAGCAGAGTAGATAAGAAATTGAGATGGTAAGGCCCATTCGTGTGGTGGATTGCCTATTTTGATTCTATCTTTACTGTCCTACTAGTTCAATGAGGGACTATCTTACTAGTTCAACAAGAGACTTGAACCTAACTAGCTATTCACCGGTTCAATAAAGAAGCTAGTTTAGGATATATAACACCCCCTAGTGTGAGAAATGGAAAAAATCATGATCCATAAGTGAGTTGGGTACACCTTGGCCTGGTAATCTATTCACAAGTGTTTAGGCTAGGGAAGTCAAAGAATATAAACTACCTCGTTGAGTTATAGCCCACGGTTTCGTGCCAGAGGAATAAGGAGGTGATAACGAAGGTGTGATCATGCATATAATGAGTAAAGATACTTGTTGTCTATATTGAGTTTGTAATGATGGTATTTTGAGTTGAGTATTATTTTTATGCTTTTATGCTTGTCAATAAATTGCTTGATCAACTCTATCTCTTTGAAAAGTGCTAAAAGTGATATTTTCCTAGTAGTTGCTATTATGTGAGCTAAATTATGGATATCAAGTTTTCAAATATCTCATATGGTCTAGAATATTAATATTGATGGCTACTCACATTTAAACTAGCTGTTACGCATTAGCATGAGTTAGTCAGACCTTGGTTACTGAGTAGTTGTACTCACCCCGTTATCTTTAATATTTTAGGAAATAGCTTAAGAAGTATGGACAGAGGAAAACAACCCAAGGCTTAGGATCACAATTCTTTTGTAGTAGGCCTCTTTAAATTGGGTAATTTATGTGTATGATAATTTCAATTGCCAACTAAAATTTTTCTTTTTGTTACTTACTTGCATTAAGAGAAAAGTAAATTATAATTGATATTTGGGCTCCAGTGAGAGAGTTGATTATTATGTGTTATGTTGATAGGATCAAAATACTAATGCAAGTGAGGGTAGCGTATATATTGTGATGAGTTGAGAAACCTTGATGCCCCCTTCCTATGATTTTGAGTTAAGGGGTCGAGTAGTGAAAATTTAATCTAGACATATTTTTTTTATTTTGGTGCTTTGCACGAATTAACTTTGTTGAGTTGAATGTGGTCATTTGGTGTCGGTGGCCATTAGTCGTTAATTTTGCGATAGGACACCTGAATTTTTCAAAAGTTTAGGTAAAGGTGTAAGTTTTGAAAAGAGTATCTAATTCTTGTTTTAAAAATAATTTGAACATGAGACCAATGCCATTAGTTAGAGCCCGAAAAGAGCTTTTGTATACTCCTAGTTCACATCATTCGGATGTCGGATGAAGAGTTGGGGCACATCGAAAGTTAGCCCTAAAGCTATCAAATTGACTATAGAATTCACTGTCAAAGTTCGTATATTTGCACCGCAGCGCGTGTCACAGAGATGAACATGCCGCAGTGCATGTTCAACGAGCTGCGTCGCATGCCTTTTAAATTTTTAATATTTTTCTTGTTTCAAATGTTTATATCTATGTAACCACTCATGTGATAATCCCTTGGTTTCGCGTATTTTCGAATTCTGTTTTGCCTGTTTACAAGACTTGATTTGATGTAGATTTATAATCTTGAGGGCCTCATTTTGTTAATCAATAAGAATTTTGCATTCAATGAGCTTAAAAGAGGAGGATATTACATGTGGGACTTAAGGATTTCCATTTGCTGCACAGTAGCCCATGAATTTCCAAATATATATATATATATATATATAATGGTAAAATAATACAGTGAATTTGCTAAGAGGGCCTGTGGCCGTGCGGCGCAATGCGGTTCAAATCCAAATTAATTATTAATCAACAATATTGCATATTGGATGGTTAAAAAGAAGAATGGTAATTCTATTGCAATAAGAATGGTAATTATTAATGTAGTGTGACGCTTGCATCAGCTCCCGTCTCTCGCTCTCAGTGTTTTCTAATTTTATTTATGATTCACTATCAATTCCATTGTAATTTACTAAAACAAAAAACAAAAACTTTAAACTTCATTAGTTTTCATATTTATCCCTAACAAGAACAAAAACAATTTTAATAATTTTTTAAATAGAAATGTAAATATGAATATAAAAGATGGTGAAGTGCCTTATAAATAAAATTAAAATTGATCTTTTATTTTTATCTTAATTATTAATAGGACCTGAGGAGAAATTCATTTCAATTTTCCACTCAATAAGCTCACGTTTTCGATCTATTCGGGAGTTTTAAAAGTAATAGTGTCAGTAGTCAGCACTGAGTTAGCTGCTATTCATTACAGTTAGTTTATAATAAAGTACCTATGTTTATAAAATGTAACACCTGTGACAAAGTAACGGTGTGTAGTTAGTTTAATGAGTGTTACTCCATCAGCTAGTCACCCCATAAAGAAATGGGATCTGGTCACCTACAATAGGAAGTGTTGGATGTTTCTTCATACTTCCTCCAATTCCCCACTATCAGTCACTTCCTCCAATTGGATGTTTTTTCTCAGCCCTTAATATAAGACAGTGAATAAAATTTAGCAAAGCATTTTTTTATTTTTTTTTAAAATTCCTTATATATCAAATTGGTTCATTTAGGTGGTCTGTTTAACTTCAAGGTTTGAATAATGTACTGTGAGTTTATAGTTTTAATTAAAAGTAGTTTGGAAATGTTATAGTGATTTTTAAAGAAATCAAGACTCTTAACTAATTTTAATCACATTTTTTAATCAGTATGATTTGATTACAAGAGTCTTTTAAATAATAGTAGAACGTGTTATACACTGCCCCAATAGAATTTCTTGTCTTCTGCTGAACAATGGAAAGTTTTCATCATTTTTGTTCTTCTTTAAGCTTGTCATTAACATCATCATTCATTGATTTCTATTTTCAAAAAGTACATGCAATTCTTTTATAGTGTAACATCACACTGTTCTGTGCCTTTCAGTATCTCATATACTCCATCTGTTAAAAAATATAAATATTTTTTAAATGACTAGATGTTTAAAGTGTAAGATATTTTTCATGTTTCAAGGTGTAACTATTATATTTTTTCAAAAGTACCCATTATAAATAAATAAAGCACTTTATATTTATTTTCAAGTGAAATACTATATTAAATAGGAGTGAATATAGATAAATGATATTAGTTTAAAGATAATCAACTACTTTATTAAAAGAAGAGATTCAATTAAAATGAGAGTGAGTATATGGATTGATCAGACCATCCACTATATAGAAATCATATTAAACCTTGAGTAACTCCCACCAAGTATTTGATATGAAAGACAAAAAATATATATAAAATGTCCTTGCCGAAATATTTTTTTTATGAATAACAAATAATTAACCTACGCGGCGTAGCAACGTATGCTTGTATTATTGATTAAAGTTATAGATTTTACTAATACTTCTAATGATTTTAATTTGCTACGGTAAATTTGTAACGAGATATATTTGCAACTTAAAGAAAAGTATTGGCCCAAAAAACTTAAAGAAAAGTATAACATTCATAACTGTAAAGAGTAACTAAAAATTACTAGAAGTCAAAGTAACCCTAAATTATGTATGACAACAATCAAGCTTTTAATAAATTGAACTTATAATATTTATTACTCGATAGTATCGTAGCTATTAGAAGTCAACAAAGTTAAAATATGTTAAAATTAAACAGTAACATTCTTCTACTCTACCATAATAATTGGAAGTAAAGGTCAACGAGTTTCTAATTACTTCACAATGCATAAGAAGTACAAGACTTCCTAAAAATAACTGCTCAAACAAGTTCGCGACATCTATAACCCATCAACATTCTTTCGCTTAAAATATTATATACTTCAATTATATTTTGGGAACGTCGCCAACAATAATTGAACTAAGAAGTTGGGGCGGTTTCCTTTTTAATGGAAGGACCGATATATAAAGGAAGAATTATTTTCATGTACACATAAAAAATTAATTATTATAAAATTTAACAATTAAATTAAAAAAATTAATAATAAAATTAGCTGTCAATCTGCTTAATTCAGTTATCATTAAATCTTATAATAATGAATTTTTTCATGTGAGATTTTAATGTAATTTTTTTATATAAAAATAAAAGCAGCGAGGAGATGAAAGTCCTGCGATCCCAATAAGACCGAGAAAGTGATAATTGAACCCACATTATGTCAATGTCTTCCCCAGCATTTCAGCACCCGTGCCCAGATTGGGGCTTCTGGCCAGATCCCTCTGATATTTTCCTGGAATCTTCTCCAAGCATTAATGATTTCTATGAAGATCCAATCCATGATTTTCTCTCCTTCGATACGGTGGACGGTCCAACACGCGAGAATATTAATGATGAAACTAAGACAGAGCAATCGCCAGTGAAGTCAAAAATCAGCAAGGAGAAGACATACATAGGGGTGAGGAAGAGACCGTGGGGAACATTCGCAGCAGAGATCAGAGACACCACCAGGAATGGCAGAAGAGTTTGGCTGGGAACGTTCCAGAGCGCGGAGGAAGCTGCTTTAGCTTACGACCAAGCTGCATTCACCATGAGAGGCAACTCTGCTGTTCTGAATTTTCCGCCGGAGACGGTGAGGCAGTCTCTGCGAGGTATCAAGTATGGCTGCCGCAAGGGCTATTCGCCTGCTTTAGCCCTCAAAGAGAGGCACTACATCCAAAGAAAACTGTCGTCAAAGGCTGAGAAAGACCGAGCCAAGCAGCAATCCCTAGTGGTCGTACTCGAGGACTTGGGTGTTGAATATCTGGAGCAACTTCTCACCATATCTGATTCTGATCAAACTACAAGCCCTGGCTTCTTCAAATAGTTAAACCCCTGTTTCCTAACAGTATTACTTCAAACCTGTAAACTGTTTTTGCTTTTTGCTTTTTGCTTTTTGTTTTTTTGTTTTTGTCTCAGAGGTCGTTGATAGATAATTGAACAAAGATATAATTACAACTTTAGCTGTTGGAGAGTTTATGTGGATCTCTACCTTCTAGAGTGCATCAACTTCTTGCACCCTCGCTTGTACAGTTATTTTGTTCCCAGTTGCCTTGCTCTAAAAGCTGGCTGAGCTTCTTTTATTTGAATGCATTCTTCTATCAAAATCGGACTTCCTCATGAATTATTTGCTTTAGGTATCGCTTCAAACCCCATGTATGACATAGCTTCACTAGTTTCCCATGAAAGATAAATTAATCTTCACGGTTACTAATCAAGTTAGTCACGGCAAAAGAGAATGAGTCAATTTCACTGAGTATGCATTTATGTAGAAACATAACTGAAATAAATGCCCTGTATTATGCTTTGAAGTTCTTATGTTACAATTCACTGTTTCGGGTTCGGGATCTGCTTTGTAATATGTATCAGGGCTGAGGATTGGTCATCCACACACGTATTAGTAGACAATGAATATCGAATTTTTTACCTGGCCACAAATTTGACGAACTACATATTGTGTCAAATGGAACCAAACTTGAATACTAATTGATATAACTCGAGGGATTATAATTTAGAGATGACACCTACATGCTCGCTGTCTACTTTGGATGCGATGCAAACACGGTTAGGAGGGGTTAGATAAGTGTTTTGAATCGGCAGATTGAAGAAATATGGCATCAATAAAGTCAATGAAAGAAACGAGGCCAAAAAAAGTTTTGAAGTCAGATCAAAAGAGATAAATAAGTAAAGGGACTAGAATATTATAAGTACTTAAGTTTTGAAAGTATTTTTCACTTATATCCCAACAGTTTTATGATATTTTGAACTTATTTTTATATTAATTAAATTAATATAGGTTTTCAATTTCTCAATAGATGCCTAAATCCTATCATGCAATTTTTTTAGACAAGGAATATCATTAACTGAAGCCAAAACAAATTGTAGGGACCATTAACTGATAAGCTTTAATTTGAATCACATGAGAACAAATGATATTTTCGAGCCAAAACTAAAGTCTAGTTTACCAGAGAAAAAGATATGAATTGAAGGATCGCAAGACGAAGTACCTCATTTACCTTAATTGTTTTAACGGTTGGAATTTTTTGATGCTTGACCAAAAGGATAAAGCCAGAAATATTTGTTTCTCCCCTCTAACCGAGACTTGGAAAACAGCGTGTATTTAACGCAGTATTTGATACTGCAGGAACAAGAATAATAATTAGAACAGTGGAAACAGAGATGGCTTACCCTAAGAGCTCAAATAATTTGGCTTTGAAAATTAAACGTTTGCAGTGGCATGTCTTGATGAAAAAGTGGAAATTACATGAACTTAATTAATGTATTGCGTGCGGTTAATCTGATTGCATGCAGAAAATGAATTAAGATTAATCTCAGATATAATTTAGTATCAAAAACAGCAGCCAGAGTAGCTTCCTCTTTTACACCGATCACATGTGCACACTTGGAATAAGAAAGCAATATAAACATATATTAAGGTGCTGCAATTATTTCTCCTCATCATTGCTGGACAGCATTAATACATCATGTGATCGAACAGGTTGTCTTGTCTTCAATGTATCGTGACTTCAATAAATGAAGAATAAACAACTATCGTGCAGTAATAATTGTCAAATAGTATTGATTAGAGAAATGAAATAAGAGTCATAGTAGTATATGTGTAAGCGGTGCAAGATACAATTGGATAAAGAAAGAATGTTGTAAATTAATCAGACCACCAGATTTGAAGGAAAAGCTGAACCGTTAGGTAAAATTGAACTCCTAGTTTAGAGATGACAAAGACGCCATTTTTAGTTATGCTATTAACAAAAAGCATTAATTATTTAATTTGTATTACTTTTGCCAGGAGGGGTTTGGACATTACATGACCCAATTGGGTCGTAAATTTTTCACTTTTTTTCCTGAAGGGGGAATGAAACTTTGGAAGCATGAACCTCAGTCAAGCCTCACTCTCACCTATTGATTCTTAAATAAAAGTTATTACAATTTGAGTATAAAATACAAAGGGAAAAAAGTTGGGATATCATTCCCACCATGTATCTGGCATGAAAAGCAAAAATCACATACGGAAAGAAATAACGCAGCGTACATCATACTGTCAAATAAAATTAAATTTTCAAAAACAGACAAGGCAAAGTTAATTGGCAGATCATCTGCAGAGATCTTATCTATTATTAGTTATATGTTTTTCAATGCGCGCCAAACAGCAGCAAATAAATCAGATCAAATAGAAACGAAAGTGCCAGATAGTTGGACAAATATGATGATGCATCATGTATTCATCTAGCCTCATGTATAATATCTTTAATCAGAAATTTTTAAAAGCTAATATTCAAGTTTTATACAAAAAACACAAGATGAATTAGAGGGCGTATAATTACATCAACCGAAGAAGCCCAAGCAAAATGTGAGAAGGAAAAAGACACAACAGCAATACTAAAAATTCGAGAGTGATTTTCGTTTCAGTGAGCCTGATAAACATTAGAAGGATGGGAAAGTTGGAATTTACCTCTAAATATGTAGAGCTAGTGTATCTATTGTCTAATGTATCGTTCGGCGTGTGAAATACATGCCCTCTTTAACATTGCTGAAATGGGGAATTGAACAACTGGAAACACACATATAAATTGGGAAAAAAAGGTTAGCATTGACGGTAATAGCAATTAAGGGAAAAGGAAAGAGTTAGGGTTACAGTCACGGGGGCGGGAGCGAAGTGAAGGGATGAGGCGGGGCTTTGAGTAAAAATAGGCGCAAACTACTGGCTCTATCCAAAATAGAAAATATAAATACGACTAACTAGATTTTACACCCGTAGAAGATATATTAAAATGTGATATAGAGATATTTTGATTATAATAATTTTAATTATTTAATATTTTGTTTGAATTAAAATTCTGAAAAAATTGACCGGACGACTGTATACCTATTTTTGACCGTTAATGTAAATTAAATTTTTAATTTTATCATAGTTTCCACACATATTATTTTAACTATTGGTTTAAAAATTTTCAACTAGTTTTTTTAGTATAGATATTCGGTTTCCCTTGTTTAATGTAAATTTTATATGTCCTTTTATCATGAAAACATTTTAAGAAAATAAAGTAACTATAGCATCCAAATGACACTTAAAAAATATTGACAATAATATAAGGATTATGTGGCATGAGGCCACACTACTGCATATATTCCTGCTGGGCCCACGTAGATGTTAAGCAAATGGTTTTAGCATTTGTGCTGCAATCACTGCAGAACTACAGTGAACTTTTGACAACAATTATAAATGAGGGAGATAACAAGCAGGTATCAATGCGATATACATTAAAAAAACAAATAAATAAAGAGAGAAGAATAAATTTAAGAAATTTTGGAATATAAAAAAATGTAAAATCCATATAAAAGGCACAATATTTATCAGTAACAAATAAAATGACTTGTCTTATTTCAAGTAATTTTTTATTTTTTTAATATACATCGATACATTTTTTTTTTTTGAGTTCCAGGCAACTACTTATTTTTTTAACTCATCCAATATTTACCTATTTTAGCAGGTTTAGATAGGCAGATAAGAACTATAATCCTTCATTGCGCATTGGATGAGAGGAAAAAAGGGACATCTAAGTTAATTTTTTAATGTCTAAACCTTGGTAAAGTATACGAAAAAGTGTTATGCACAAGTAAAATAAATTGTATGAGATTACTGAAATAAGTGGAGAATGATAAAAAAGGGGAGAAAATGGCAGATATATACATACATATATATATATATATATGTATGTTTTTTTTTTTTTCACCAGAGGTAGATATATAATATTTCAGGCTTCAAATAGTGTGATATACACAAATTCCCATTGCAATTAATATGGGCAAAAGCAGTAAAAAGATGTCATATTTTAACTTAAAATCTCAATGTTCAAAATTATGAATTTTTTTTATTATATATTAGTTATTGAGTTTAACTTTATTCAATATGAGATTTTGTTTTTAGTCCAATTACACTTGGACATTCTAACAGCCACAAATAATATACTTACAGTGCAATTTTTCTTGACCTTCTGCTCACGTCATGTAAGTTCAATAAGAGATAAATCACAATTAGCTGAAGCAAAATTGAAAAAAAAAAAAATTGAACCCTTTTGCCAGTTAAAACAGTGAATTCAAGTCCTAAAAATGAACAACAACAGAAATGTGGCAGGCATACAACATATAAGGAACAAAAGAGTCTCTACTTCAGGATGTTCTTCAATATCTCTCTATATATCTATTGAATGGCCGGGGTTACTTTGAAGGACAGAATGAAGGAGATTTTCTTCTTTTTCCCCATGGGTCATAAGCGAACAAGATGGAATATATAAAAAATGAACTCGTTTGGTTATTAAAAAAGAATGAAATGAAATGGATTGAAAAAATAAGACAAAAATAAATTAAAACATGATAAAACTCATTATTTGACATTACAAATGTGGGAATCATGATATTTTTCAAAAATCTCATAAATCATAATTGTCAACCTCATAACTAAGTTACCTTTCTTTCTTATAGATGTACTCACATATCTCTTCTGACTATCTTATTTTTACCTTTGTTTTTTCCTCCCATTTCTTTCTAGTAAGCAAATGATGACCCAAGTGATATGAACATTATTTAAAAAAAAGATTAAGTTTACATGCATCCATAGATACATACATAGGCAACAGCCAAATTAAAGATCAGAAAAACGATGCAGATGATAGAGAATAATATATAGGAAAGACCATTAAATCATGGTAGTATAATAGTAATACTCACATAGGGTATGACAATTGGGCATCTGGTAATAGTTCTGTTTCTGCAGAAACATAAGAGAGACGAGTGTGAATGAAGCAGACGAAAGAAAGAAGTGCGTAAAAGGCATGCAAGGTGGTGGGGTTGAAATTAAAAGGAGCAAGTGGGAGATACTATGCGTGAGTTGAATTTGGGCAATGAATGAAGGAGATGGCTGTTGGCAGGATTGGTGCACGCGCGTCCC